AGTCAGTTATGGCAATTTCCCTTAATGCACAATAGGAGCCAGTTGTGTTTGTGGGACCTCAAATCCACGAGCTCAGCTCGGAGGCCGACGTGCCTGCAGGGCCATCTCCTCCAGGTTCTTCGAGGCATCACTCCCAGAGGCGCACCCCATTTCCGCCGGGCAGCACGCAGCCATGGCCTCAGGTCTGGACACCAGCCGGTCTGAGGCAACATTTATGAAAGCAGCGTAGAACTTTCCAGAGCCGGGGGGGGGGGGGGGGGGGGGGGGGGGGGGGGGGGGGGGGGGGGGGGTGAATGGGGAGGGACCACGGGCAGTGAGCTCTCTGGAGGGATGGAGAATCAGGACTAAGGGCTGGAAGGCGGCATCGTCGCTCAGGGACGAAGGGGCCCTGGTGACAGCTGAGGTCACAGAGCACTGTCCCCCGAGGGGGCTGGAGTAGACAGCACGAGTCTCACCTCCACAGGACCTCGAGCCTGTGCATGGACAGCAGAAGGAAGGGACCCAGGAGGAGGCTCGGCACCAGGCTGGGCCGGCTCTCTGCTCTGCAGCCGGGCTCCCAAACCTGCTCCCAAGGTGCCTGGCTCCAGACCAGGCCTTTCCCTGCTGCCAGAAGGTTCTTCTCCGGCAGGAAGGTGAGGGAAGGGCACACACAGGATGAAGGAGCACAGCAGCTCCGTGTGGCCCCCTAACCGTCTCCCGTTTCCTTCTGCCCTCCCTTCTCTGCCCCCTCCCCGGCTCTCTGTGCAGAGAGCTTCAGAAAAATATGCATGCTTTTTAAAAAATGTTTACTTATTTATTTTGAGAGAGAGCAAGCACAAGCTGGGGAGGGGCAGAGAGAAAGAGAGAGGGAGAGAGGAAACCAGAAGCAGGCTCCTCGCTGTCAGCACAGAGCCTGACATGGCGTTCAATCCCACGAACCGTGAGATCATGACCTGAGCCAAAACCAAGAGTCCACCGCTTAACTCACTGAGCCCCCCAGGTGCCCCGGAAAAATGTGCAGCAAAAGCGCATCCAAACTTTGCTCTTTGGGGATGTCCCTTAGCCAAGGAGCACGAGGGATGCACCTGAGTGGGTCCCTACTCCGTGGACCTGTGTTCCGTCTATGGGATGGAGATGCTCCGAGGTGCCTCTTCACTGGCCACAGGGCTTTGCTCTCAGACTTCCAGCCCTGCAGCCATGAGCGGCAAATGCCTGTCGTTATAAGCCACCGGTCGGTAGTATTTTGTCATAGCAGCCAGAGCAGACAGATGCCGTGATGTCTGACAGCTGGAGGTGCACCACGTTTCTGAGCTCGGTCCTGGGAATGGCTGACTCCCACATGACCTTGGACGGGGCTTGCCGTCTTCCTGAGCCTGATGCGGCAAGAGCATCACCCATGGGCGTCCGCAAGGATTAAGGGACATCATGCAGCTAGTTGAGGGCGTCTAGGGCACAGCACCTGCTCGGTCCGTATTACCATGGCCGTCCAGAGCTGTGAACATAAGTGAGCCCTTGCTTCAAGGGAAGCCGTGTGGAAACCAGGATTTAGATTCCTCCTCAGAACATTTGGGGTTGGCTGATGCCAAGGATCCTTTAATCCAAATGCCTCATTCTTCAACGATTCAGAGTTTGCTTTTGGAAATACTATGTAGCCTCCTAAATCAAATTACACTTGCTCGAGGCTTCTCGGATGACCCTTTCAAATGCATTAAAAGCAGGAAACTCTCCTACTGACTCATGGATTCCAGTCCCTGGAGAGGACTTTGGTTTGGGATTAGAGGAGTCAGAAGTGACTTACCTCCAGCCTCTAGCTTACCAGAGCAGGGGTACAGGGCAGGGCATAGGGGTGCAGGGCAGGTCAGCAGGGGTGCAGGGCAGGTACATAGAGGCACAGGGCAGGGCATCAATGATGCAGGGGTGCAGGGCAGGGTGGCAGGGGTGCAGGCTCCCCATGGGTCGTGAGCACACCACACACCCCTGTTCTGTCTACACACGCCCTCTGGGAGGGAGGGATGTGAATGGTACCCCTGTTTGCTCCTTTATAAACACAGACAAGGAATGAAGACGTGGTGAGGAGGGACTGACAGGTGTCAGGTTGGGTGTGGCCAGCTGTCGCCCCATGTCCCTCTCAAATTCTCTGACCTCCCCGGGTCAGCTCGGCTCCCAGGCAGCTGTGGCAATTCCGAGGCACCATCCACATTTGGCAAACCCTGTGGGAGTCGCCCAGAGCTTTATGTTTATAAAGACTACCTCCCAGCCATGCCTCAGGGGATGCCGGAAACACTCCCCAGGTGACTGCCGGCTCACTCCCCCAGCCCAGCCTCCCTCCTCTCCCCCTCCCACGCCTGTGTGCCGAGGGGGAGTCCTGGGAGGGGGAGTCCTGGGAGGGGGAGTCCCGGCAGTGGAGCGGAAGCAGCTCGTGGGTCCTGGGGTCCTGCTGCCCCCCGGGGTTCCTCAGAGCAGCAGCAGCCCCATCGTCACAAGCTGCCTGGACTTGGGTTTCTCTGTCGAGGAGCCTGACCGACTTGGCGCTCTTTAAAGTTCAAGTACCAACTGTAAATCCTCATGGGACGTTACTGACATAAAATCAAGTCAGATGTTCTTCAAATTCCGGAGGTTTTTTGTTTTGTTTTGTTTTTTTAATTCTTTATATCTGCCCCTCCAGACCTTCTTCTTTCCAGAATGTGGCTCTGGTTGGTGGGGATTATCTTAGCGTCCGGCAGTACCTCCCGAATGTTTGTGTGTCTGTATCAACAGCAGCAGCCGTCGCGAGCCGTGGCAGAGGTCTCCAGGGGCACGAGTCCTAGCCTTGCCACGCGCGTAAGCCCTGGTGGCTCAGCTGAGATGCCTCCCGAATGGGAGCTATCTACTGCCTGCCGAGCAGGGTGACCGGGAAGGGCACCGTCACTGGGTGGCACTAACCGGTTCAGTCTTCACAATATCCCAGAGAGAGAGGTTACTCTTACTATTAGTGGACCTGTTTTACAGATGGGGAAGCTGAGGCCCAGCAAGGCAGAGTGGCACAGCGAGTGGCAGAGCCAGGGCTCAAACCCAGGCTGTCTGCCCTGCGTCTGCATTCTCTGTGCTGAGTAGCTCGTCTGAGGTGTCACTCTCTCTGGCAGTGGCATGTACTTGGCCACTAATAATAAAGTTTTCATTCACGCTCAGTGCCCGCCCATGGCAAGGGCCCAGGAATCGCTCCCGTGTTAGTGTCCCGTGTTAGTGTTGCTTCTGTCCCGGGCTGTACAGCACGCTGTGTCCCCGCTGTGTCCCGGGTCTTGCGCTGGTAGGTGGTACATAAATACCTGCAGCCTCTAGATGCATGGCCTGAGAGTTCTGTAGGTAGGGTTGGGCTCGCTTTGAGATTCTTCCCACCAAGTAAGTGGCCACTGTCTGCAGTGGGATTTGAGCGTGAGTGATTTGGGTCAGCATGGCTTGTGGCCCTGAATCTGTTCATCACGCACTGGCAGGGGAGGAGGCTGAGCATTGGTAGTGGCGTGAATGCCGCCTCTAGCATGGGCCTGCGCGTGTGACCTGGTGTAACCTCAACTGGTTGGCACTCAGCGGAGCCTGCAGTACCGGCTCGCACTGGGAGATGGCGCCCTTCCCCAACGGTTGGAGCTGGCCACCTGAACTCCCCTGTGTTCCGGGGGTGGGGGTGGGGGGAGGAATAAATTCGGAAACTCTTTAGAGAGGTCTCACAGCCCACCCCCAGGCCAGGAGTCCCCTCTCCCAAAGGGGATGGAGCAGAGACAGACGCCCTAGGAAGGTGGCGTCCATCTTTGGTGGACCCCAGCAAGGCTGGCTCCTTCTAATCCCCACTCAGGAAGGGAGATTTATTTTCACCCAGGCAGGAAAAAGTGTAGTGAGAGACCTGGAGAATTCTTCCCTTCCCAAATGTGCGGGAAAGCTTAATGGGAGGGACTGGGGAACATACCCCTCATCCTCCAGAAGCCTCCTGCAAATGCTAAAGCCCCGTTAAGGTGCTTGACCCAGTCAGCCCTGTGCTTCGGAGACGTGTGAGTGTCTTGGTGCCATGCTGCAGAGGTCCGGGGACGTGTGCCAGGCTGCCCTGCCCCTCTACTTGGGCACCAGGACTCGGGTTCCACTCTTGCCCCCCAGCCACTGACCCCAAGGCCCCACCCAGCTCCGCACTCCTCGTGGGCTGGGCACCTTCAGGCCTCCTGCCCTGATGCCCGAGCCCAAACCTAGACCCAGCTCCTGCCTGCAGTCGCCTCCGCCCCAGCCCAGGAGCCCACACTGGCGGGGCAGCACCTGCCAGGGACACCTGCTCCTTTCCTCCCAGAGGCCTTAGAGCACCTGCCCCCCAGCACCCACCCCTGGAGAGTCCAGAGAGCCTTCCCTCTCCCCCAGCGCTGGGGCTGGAGACCCCTTCCTGGCTGGGCTTCAGGGGGCCGACTGGGATGGCGAGGAGCATGGAGGCCCCCCCCCAAGTAGGTCCAGGGCAGCGATGGCTGAGCGCGCAATGGGTGGGGGGTCCCAGAGGGGTGCCCAGGCCTCACTGAGCGCGTCCACCGGGAGGGAGCCGCGGCGCCACCAATCTGGACGGTAAGGCCACCGCGCCGCAGGCCCGCAGGCGGATTTCCGGACTTGGGGGCGGTGGTCCGCTTTCCTCCCTGAACACCCGTCTCAACCCCTTGGCGACAGGGGTTTGCAGGCCCCGCTGCCAGCAGCCAGGGGGCGGCGGGGAGCCGGAGCGGAGAGGAAAAATCCACCCATTTCCTGGGCAGATTGCGTCGGCCGCCGCCCGGCCGTGTCCCCGCCTCCCGGCCGCGGCCCCCGCGCGCAGCCAGCGCGGCGCTCAGAGCCCGAGCCGGAGCCGGAGCCGGAGCCGGAGCCGGAGCCGGAGCCCGAGCCCGAGCCCGAGCCGGAGCCCGAGCCGGGGGCAGGGCGCGGAGCGCGGAGGGGCGGCGGCGCCGCGGACACCGGGCAGCGGGCAGCGGGCAGCGGCCACCCTCCCCGGCGCCCGGGGCGGCGCAGCCATGGCCTGGGCGCGCGGGGCGGCGGCGGCGGCGGCGGGCGGGCGGCGGCGGGCCGAAGGGGCGCGGGGACTCGGCCGGGCGCCCCTGCCCGCCGCGGTGCCCGCCGCCTGAAGGCTGCCCGGGGGCGCGGAGCCGGCGCCGGCGCGCGCGGGCGCAGGAGGCGACTCGAGGCGCGATGTCGGTGCCGCTGCTCAAGATCGGGGTTGTGCTGAGCACCATGGCCATGATCACCAACTGGATGTCCCAGACGCTGCCCTCGCTGGTGGGCCTCAACACCACCAAGCTCTCGGCGGCCAGCGGCGGGACGCTCGACCGCAGCACCGGCGTAAGTCCCCGCCGCCACCCCGCGGGCCCTCCCGCCCGCTCCGTCTGACCCCGACCCCGGGCTGGGCGGCGCCGAGCAGGGCGCGAGGCCAAGGGCACGGGCAGGGGTCCCAGGCGCTCCACCCCCGCCGCGGGGGTGACCGTGCTTCCTCCCCCTCGCGCTCGTCCCGCTGGGCCGCCAGCCCGCCGCGGTCCCCCAGGGGCGACGCCTCCTTCCTTTGCTGGGGTTTCCTCTCTGGGCAGGGGGCCTTGGGGACTCGGAAGCTTGAAGTCGGTCGGCATCAACTAATAGTAAGTCCCTCGCTGACAAGGTCAGGAAACTGAGGCAGGGGACTTGGGGACTTGTCCAAGGTCACTGAGCAAGTAAGGGGTGGGGAGGCGGCGCTCCACCCTTCTCGGGCTGGTCCAGCCAGGGCTCGAGCTGAGCCCGCCCTACTTTGTCAAAGCCAGACCCGACTGCACGAGTGGCCAGCGGCGGCGGCCAGCTGGTGGCTTCGAGTCCCAGAGGCTCCCGTCCCTGTTCATCCCCAAGCCAGGTCCCTCAGGGTCCCCGCCGTGGTGGCCGGGGGAAGGTGCAGTGGCCGGGGCGGGGCCCTGGGGGGCACGGAGCTGGCCCGTCCTGCCCCGTCACCCCACTGCCCTGCGTCCCGGGTGGCTTTTCCTCCCTCCTCAAGGCCTTGGGGGAGGGAGCGAGCGGCCAGGGCGCCTGTGGGCAGGCCTGACCGGATGTTGGCTGGAGCTGCTAGGAGCCCGGGTAAGCGGGAAGCAGCCCGAGCCGAGGGGGATGTGAGGAAGGGCCCCAGGCGGGCTCCCTCTGGGGGGAAAGGCGGGCTGGGGGGAGGGGGGCAGGAGGCTCCTCTCCCGCCTGGTTTTGCTGCCCAGGGCACGGTGCTCTGGGGGGAGGTCTCCACGTGACCCCTCCTAAGCCCCTTGTCATGTTCGCCTCACCTGCTGTTTCAAGAATTGCATCCAGTGCTTCTCATAATGACTTTGCTCCTGCGTCTGGGTCCTAAGCTTCTGGGGTTGGCAATGAATGAAACAAATGTATCACTACTATAGATTCTCCTCCCCAGCCCCGTGCTAAAAATAGCAGGGAGGTGACCCGAGCGCCTGGGCAGGCTGCTGGGGAGGGTCTGTGCTCAGGGAGTGGTTCCGCCAGCGGTGGCCGCCCTACGCACCTGGTGCTCAGGTCCCGAGCTGGGCTGCAAGGTGACACGGGCCACACACAGCTCCGGTTACATGGTGGGTCCCTGGGCATCTACCCCAGGACCGAGGTTGGCTGTGACCTGGCACGACATGTCACCAGAAACTTGGTGACATCCACCGAAGGACTCGTGGGCGACAGCGGAGACGGAAAGCTGGCGCTTCCTCCAGAGGTCTCTGCCAGGGCGCCAGGGGCAGTCGGGGCTCGGGTCCTTGCGGCTCCGGGCCGATGGTGCCTCATCCCTTCGCGTCAGGGGCGGCAGCGCCAGGCTGCGCCAGCCTCCCCTGCTTGCCTTACGGGGAGGAGATCTTATTTCTGAGTTACGTGCTGCTGTGAGTCAACCAGCCACTTGCTTTCCTGCCTGGCTCCTCTCCGCCTTTCGGCCTTTCCCCTCCCTTCCTCCTAACCTATCAGTTTGGTCAGACGCCAGAACTCCAGACATCCCTGGAATTTAAAAAACACCAAATTTGGGGGAAAACAAAAAACAAATGTAAAAGAGTCGTGTCTGCCTGACTTCCTTCTGACCCTGGGGACCCTGAGAGACCGCCCGTGTGTTCTCAGGGGCCCCTTCCCCTCCCCATGGTCAGAACAAACACGGCTTTGGACCCTTTGTGCCCCCCCCCGGGTTGGACTTCGACAGCCCCCCCAGGTGTCTTTCCTGCTGCACTGCCTTACGGTCTGACTTCTCTCCCTGTCGCCCTCACCCCCCCCCCGCCCCCTCCAGGTGTTACCCACCAACCCCGAGGAGAGCTGGCAGGTGTATAGTTCCGCCCAAGACAGCGAGGGCAGGTGTATCTGCACAGTGGTCGCCCCCCAGCAGACCATGTGTTCCCGGGATGCCCGCACGAAACAGCTCAGGCAGCTGCTGGAGAAGGTGAGTCTGTGCGGGGCGTGTGCGTGTGCGTGTGTGTGTGCGCACGCACGCACACCCACACCAGCACCAAGGCTCGGCTAGCCTGTGGGGTCTGTCCTGGCTTCAAGACCCACCCGCTTTCTTGGCATGTCCACGCTCAGAATGTTTGTGAATGAATGAATGAATGAATGAATGAATGAATGAGTGGATGGAGAATCCTGGAGGCCGGCCCAGGAGAAGAGGAGTCGACCCCGCTGGTCACTGCAGGCTCCCCCGCAGAGCCATGTGGGAGTGGGGAGCGGGGACGTGGGCTGCTTTTGCTGCCACCATCTCTCGGTCCCTCCCAGGGGTGCCTGAAACCCAGGGCTGGGGGTTGCTGGGGGCAGCTCCCTGGGGGCCATCTCCCTGGGGGCAGCTCCCTGGGGGGCAGACTTGCAGCCCTTTGGATTTTGCCCCCGGGCTCTTCCCGGCCTCCGAGCAGGGGTCGGCCCTGCAGCGGGACTTCTGGAGCGAAAGCACGCCGTGTCCCCTTCGCAGCCCCTGGGAACAGCAGCGTGTGGCGCGCGCGCACACACACGCACACGCGCACACACACACACACACACACACACACACTTGGAATCCATCGTTTCAAATAATCTCCACAAGGGGCGTGTGAACTTGGTGAGATTTTTCACCCCATTTCAAAAAGTGGGAGTCGGAGGGGTGGGCCCACATGCCCCAGCCTCACAGCTGCTGGGGTGGAGGGTCTGGCACTCAAGCCCCCAGCGCCCCCCCACGACGTCCCCGCCCCCGCAGAGCTGTGCACACACAGGGATGCCACCCACAGACACACATGGACACCGCATGCACACGCACACAACCACCTACACACTCCACACACGCACCACCTACCACACAGTCACACCACACCCCCACAAACACACCCATGTACATACCTCACAGCACACACACAACACCCCTCATACTGTACATGTATATACACCCCATACACACACTGCACACCACACACACACCCCCCACATACACGCCTCATACTATACACATATATACACCCCACACCCTACACACACACAAACTGCACACCACACACACACCCCACATACATGCCTCATACTATACACGTATATACACCCCACACCCTACACACACACTGCACACCACACACACACCCCACACACACGCCTCATACTATACACGTATATACACCCCACACCCTACACACACACTGCACACCACACACACACCCCACACACACCTCATACTATACACATATATACACCCCACACCCTACACACACACACACACACACCACATACTATACACATATATACACCCCACACCCTACACACACACACTGCACACCACACACACATACACACACACCCCAGATACACACCTCATACTATATACATACATACACCCCACACCCTATACACACACACACACACACCCCACATACACACCTCATACTATACACATATATACACCCCACACCCTATACACACACACACACAATGCACATCATACACACACACACACCGCACTCCCCACGCACACCGTATACATGCACACAAACACACAATACACACACACACACCACATGTCCTACAGACACACAGATAAGCTGCCCTTGTCGGGACATGAGGCGGCTGGCGCTGTGAGCTGTGAGGACCTTTGAGTTCGGGCCCAGTGCAGCCACCACCCCTCCCGCAGTGTGGAGGGAAGGGGCAGGGGAGGGATTTGGGGGCTCCCAGCTTTGCTAGCAGACCCAGGCCCGCGGATGGGCGTGGGGGGAGGCAGGGAGGCCGAGGCCCCGGGCAGCGCCCGCCCCTGCTCCCCGCTCAGGGGCTGCGTGGCCTTCTCCTTCATCTCTAGCCCGCCCAGCACGTCACTTACACAGAATTGATGTAAAACGCATTTAGCACATTCCACAAACGTTCATTAACACCAAACTAGACCAAAGCCTAATTGGGCCTTTAATTATTCAGAATTGCCGAGGCAGGAGGTGGAGCTTGAAGGGGCCTCCGGGACAGCTGAGGCGGGGGATGGGGACGGGGTGGGGGCTGGGCCGAGGGGTCCTGTCTGGGGACAGGGCTGGGGACGGGGGCTGGGGGCTTGGCCTAGGGGGCCAAGCTGGGGGCCTGAGCTAGGGCCTAGGGCCCGGGGCTGAGCTTGGGGGGTGGGGGCCGGGCCGGGGGTGGGGCCCTGGGATTGGACGCTGAGCTGGGCTTGGGGGCCGGCCTGGAGGTGCAGGCCAGGGGTCGGGGCTGGGGGGGGCGTGTCTGGGGGCGGGGCTAGGGGCTGGGGTCCTGGGCTGGGACGCAGGGCTGCGCTGGGGGCCTGGGCTGGGGGCAGGGCGGGGGCGGGGCTGAGGGCTTGTCGGGGGGCGGGGCTGGGGGCGGGGCTAGGGGCTGGGGTCCTGGGCTGGGACGCAGGGCTGCGCTGGGGGCCTGGGCTGGGGGCGGGGCGGGGGCGGGGCTGAGGGCTTGTCGGGGGGCGGGGCTGGGGGCCGAGAGGAAGATCCCGGAGCTCTTGGGGGAGGTGCTTTCTGGATTCCAGAAGGCTCTCAGAGCCCCTGGAGTGCGGGCCTGAAGCCCTCCCTCCTGCCTCCATAGGCCACAGCATCACGGCTTAAAGACTTAAAGCCCTAGTTTATACCCGGTGGGCGCCGTGTGGTACGAGGGCAGCAGCTCTGGCTGTGAGTGAGGGCCTGGGGCTCCAGCTCCTCCTTGTGGGGCGGGGGCGGCGCTGTTCTGCCTCGCTCCGGTCGTCGCCCCCCTTCCCCACCCAGGGGTGCGGGTCGGTGGGGCCGAGGTCCCGGCCGCTCACCTCGCATCTAGTTGTGTGTCTCTGCAGCCGGGCTTCACGTGAAACTCCGCCGAGGGGCTTCCGCCCGGACTGTGACCCTAAAGGCCCGGAGCCCTGGGAGGGGCCCTGGCCGCTCGCCTTGGGGGGCCACTGGGAACCCACAGACTGGGAAAGGCCTGCGGGGCGCGGGCTCTGTTTCTGCTCTCTTTGAAGAAGCCACCAGCCCTGAATCTGGAAGTGTGGCTTCGGCGAAGCCCAGGCCTGGACCCCTGGCCGGCCGCTGTGTGGTGGTAGACCAGCCGCGCAGCTTCTCTGAGCCTGGCTCTCCCTGCGCATAAAGTGGGACTCGAAATAGTGTTCACCTCCCGGGGGTTTTTCAAGATTGAACAGAGTAAGTGACCCACGGGCTCCGCCCATTGCGTGGACCGCTAAAGAGGTTCGGTAAATATTAGCAGTTATCAGTTCCCTGGAGGGCAGGTGTGTGCTGCCTGCCCCCGCCCCTCCCCACCTCCCAGCACCTGCAGCCACGCTGGCCAAAGCGTGGTGGGGGGGGGGGGGTCGGTGTCATTTAGTAGCTGTGTGACCTTGAGCTGGTCAGTCTGCTTCTCGGCACGTCCCGAGGGAGACAGGATGGATGGCCCAGGGCCCTGTCCCTGGTTGTGCCCTTCCACCCCTGTCTGCTTTGTGACCCGCCAGAGAGGAGGGCCCGTCTGGGCAGGGGGAGAGTCGCATTTTGTTTTAAGGCCACTGAGTAGGTTGGCATCCTTACATTCTGTTTTCTAAATCTTAAATTTGATCTTGTTTAAAATTGGTTAAAAGTCTTCCTTCCCGCTGTGCTGTGTGTGGCCCCTGCTGGCCCGGGGGAGGGACTGCAAGGGCGCACACCCAGCGGCTTCCCCTCCGCGCACACACACCCGGAAGCCCTTGATCTTGCGGGTTTTGCTGCCCATCCCGTCAGGAATTGGACGTCCCAGGAGCACAGGGGAGAGGGGTCTTGACTGGAGGGGCCGTTTTGAGTTCCTGCTCTCGGCATTGTGGCTGCAGCAGACACTCCAGGGGTGAGGCGTGGGCCTCGTGCTGTGGTTACAGGAGTGAATAAGGCCCAGCTCCCTCTCCACCCCCCCCCCACAGCACTTCCTGTCCAGCTGGTACATCCCAGAAGCCTCCCCAGAAGAGGTGGTGTTCGCTCTGGGCTTTAAAGTAGGAAGGAAACCAAAAATCACATCTCTTCTCAAAGGGAGTGCTACGATTATTCGATGTGAGGAGGTAAGACAGCTGAGGGGGCAGGGAGAGAGAAGATGAGGGAGCAGATATATTCCAGGTCCCCGTAAAATGTCTAAAGAGAAAGGATCAGAGTCGGAGTCACCCACATACTGTATTTTACAAACGTGAATTTTTAAACTGAATTTGTGTGTTACTTTTAAGTAACTGGCCGTAAAAATTCCAGGCATTTCAAAATGCTGCAATGAGTAATATCAATTTTTCTCCTACTGAGAAGCCTTTTAGATGTGCTCTTTTATTTTATTTTATTTTATTTGTGGGGGTGGAGGAAGCACCAGAAGGCACAGAAACCGAACTACCAGCTTTTCACTGTGGCCAAGTCAGGCTAGGTGTCATACCCAAATGATTGTGTTCTAAAAGGGAGAGTGTTTTCAAAGGCAGCGGAATATCAGAGCTGAAGGTTCCCGGTTGTAAAGGTGTCTTCCTCCCTCGTAATTGGATCCGACTCTGGGAAGATGACCCGACCACCACAGCAGCAGTCCTGAGCTCCATGCTGCCTCCTTCCCCACCGCCCCGAATGCCCGTGCCCCAGAGCACAAGCCGCTTTCCCGAAAATAAAACGCACTGGCAGGTGGCTGCACTGAAACTGTTCTTCTTTTAAGCTCTCTGGAATCCTCTTGAATATTAAAGTTCCATCTTGAGGCTAGACTCGATTCAGATCTGCCTGCAAAGATGTAAAACAGCGATTCTTCATTTGCTGGGTGATTGATTCCTGACTCTATGTGCGGAATGTACGTGTTTGCAAAGCAGTCATCTACCTATGATCCTGCGGGGCGTGATGGATGGCGTGCAAGATGGGGAAGAGGGTTGATGCAGAGTCAGGCAGAACAGTTCCCTTGTACCTTGTTTCCGCGTTCCTGCGATCAGCCTTTGCAGCAGGGCGGCTGGGAGATTTAGGAGGAAGGAGCCTCTACCTGAGGTGGGGCAAGTCCAATGGCACTATTCATCTTTCTTGGTATGTGTGCCGGCCTAACTGGTTTCATCCTGCAGAATAGAGAGACTTAAACACAATCCCTGACACAAGGAAGAAAAAGAGTCACCCGAAGCCATATGCCTGGAGCCATGACCAGGGAGGATCTGATGCTCTGGAACCCCTGATTTGCAGAAAAACATTCTGGAACGTGGTGGAGGAAATGTTTACCAAACCAATTTGCTCTGTTTGGGGAGTCCTGGGTCATCACAATCCCCGGTGTTGGTGATTAACTAGTGAATAATGCATGGGCTGCTTCTGGTTCCCAGTGTGTTGGATGTGCGGAAAAGGTCACGGTCGTGTATTAGGAGACAAATAAGATGGGCAGACACCTGCTATGGCTCCTTCCTTGAACCTGTTGCCTTTTTGACAGGTGCAAAACATGTCTCAATCCATAGAGGTCCTGGACAGGCGAACTCAGAGAGACTTGCAGTACGTGGAGAAGATGGAAAACCAAATGAAGGGGCTGGAGTCCAAGTTCAAACAGGTGGAAGAGAGCCATAAGCAACACCTGGCCAGGCAGTTCAAGGTATGTGTGCCTCTCCTCCTCCGAGACTGGGCTTGGTTTCCCTTCATGCTTTTCCCTTTCCCTCCAGGAATAGAACTTGGAGCCCAGGGAGGGGCCCAGTGAAAATTGCCCTTTGCAAGAGCCGTTGTCCTTGGAAATAGAGAGGCAGCCTGCCCTCGCCCTGGTTTGGCGAATGACATCTTGAAAGGGGTGGATTGAGCAGCGGCGCTCAGACCCCCGTTAGTTTCCGGGGCGGGGCACCCCAGACCTGGCTTCTCAAGCCAGGTCACAGATTAGCTGGAAAGGGACATGACTGTTCCTTGTCATCCTGCAGCTGCTGCAGGTAAATCACATTAGCCAGGGATTAGCTTAATTGATTAGAGCCATTTCTGAGCAGGGATCACTCAGGGCAATTTTTCACATCTGACCTAATTTAGCTTTGACAAGGCACAGTGTAGATTTGCAGGGAAGAAGGAGAGAGACACCAACATCTTTCTCACTTCCTGGTAAGTGTTTTTCTCCCCCCTCCGGGTAACTCTGGACGTTAAAGCCAGAGTTTGACCTAAAATTATATATACATATGTAGAAATATGTATATATACATCTCTAGTTTACTCAGCTTTAAAATGTCCAAATTGAAAAATTATATGCACCTTAATTAAGGTATACATGCATGTTAATTAGCAATCTAGCCCAGATATAAATGAACAGGTCAAATTATACACAACCCTGCTTGACTAGAAATTGCTGATGCTCTGTCTTCCTGTCCTTTTTATGCTAATGTTTTCCTTTGATGTGCTCCCTGCATGAAGCAAGAACTAATCCGCTTTTAAGAGTGATACGTTATATAGACTGAAATAGCAGGCTAACGAAGTAATAAATCTATATTATAAATAAAATAATAGCAGGCCTGAGCCTATTGAGGAGAAATGAGCCGATTGCTCACGTCGGAGGGAGGTGACCACGATGTCCTTGCTCCTGACATGTCATCGGGAATTATCTCAGAGAGAGATTTTGACCTGCTTGACCAGAAAGAGTTTGTGCCTTTCCCTGAAAGGACAGCACTCCCTTCCCCGTGATAGAGCCAGATTCCTCTTAAGACGAGGGTACCTTGAGCCGCCAAGGGCTAGCCGCACAGCCGTAGCACTGTGCATGTAGGCACCCCCCTCCCAGTTCCAAAATTTGGGGCAACGTGGCCCCAGAGGAGGAAAGGCAGCCCTTGCCTCTTACCGTGCTTTCATCGCATTAAGAATCTCAACAGGAATTGTGAGGGAATTTCTGTAACTGTTAGAGCACTTGGTTTGGAGTCCATCTAGCATCCCAGTGTGATTTTTTTAAGTGACCATGGAACTATTTGTCTGTTAATGGCTGTCTGTTTAAAGCAGGCTAGCGAGGCAGCTCTTCAACAGTATTTCATTTTCTTGCTTGCAGGGCTAACTTAAAAGCGTTTTTTCAATGCTGCAGTGACTGAAGAGGCAGCCCACTCCCATGTAACCATGAAAGAGGGTCAGAGAGCTTTTGCACCATGCATTTTTACTATTATTTTCCAATACTTAGCACCATATCACTAAGGAACCTTGAATACAACCAGGATCCTTCCTCTTTTGCATGCGACTGTAGATGCATTTCATGCATAGTTTGAACCCTTGTCAATGCATTTTTTGAAAAAGAAAAAAAAAGAAACTCTGTGTGTGTGACTAAAAGCATGTAACCTTAAGATGTTGCATTCAAAACTGACAATAAAGACCTTTCCCAAATATGTCGGTGTTCTGGAGACTGTTTAATATGCTCTTCTATCTCGTTTGGAGCAGAATACATAAGCCTGTAACAAAAGCAGGAGTGTGCACACCCTCCGTCACCCAGGGAGAAGCCAGGCCAAGGCGGGGTGTTGCAAGTTTTTGCACGCATAGCACTGAACCCAGCTTATTTTAACCTTGCAGGCGATAAAAGCGAAAATGGATGAACTTAGGCCTTTGATACCTGTGTTGGAAGAGTACAAGGCCGATGCCAAATTGGTATTGCAGTTTAAAGAGGAGGTCCAGAATCTGACGTCAGTGCTTAACGAGCTGCAAGAGGAAATTGGCGCCTATGACTACGATGAACTTCAGAGCAGAGTGTCCAATCTTGAAGAAAGGCTCCGTGCATGCATGCAAAAACTAGGTAGGACCAGAACCCTGAGCGGGGCAAGGCTCTGCCCCGCCCGCCTCGCTCACACACAGGCGTAGGGAGTGGTGCTGAAGCGGACAGCGCCCGCCTGGCTCCAGGGAGGCCCCGGGCGGGGCTCCCCGCAGGCGCTCAGGCCACACTCAGGCTAGGGCACCGTCCCACCCACCCGGTGCAGAGAAGGCCAGCTCACAGACCCCATGGAGTCGCACATCTGCAGACAGCGTTAGATGCCACATACCACCTGCAGGATGTGTGTGTGCGCGCGCGTGAGAGTGTGTCACGTGTGTGTGTTGGGTGAGTTTAGGACGCAAGTCTCGTAGGGTTGGAAACATACATTTCAGATTCTCTCCGGGTTGGGGACAAGGGGCTGAGGAAACTCCCAAGGTAACGCGTCATGCGTTGTTTGAACAAAAGCAAAGAAAATCCAGCCACACCATGGTAGGACTTGCCGTTCACAGGGAGTAAAGGCATACGTCCCTCCTAACAGCCTGGACGGAGCAGAGCCTCCGAGCCCACGGGCTTCTCCAGCCCGTTGTTATATTCCAGGAAGCACCCCCTCCGTTGGGGGGGACCCCTTCAGATCCTTGAGATTGAGTACCCGCGTGCCTTATCAACTCTCTTTTTCATGGTTTCCACAAGTCTTCATTCGTCCACTCTCTTTTCAATATTTCTAGTTCCTTCTTGGGCTTTCTTACGAAGGCTACCTGGCCCTTCTCACCTACTGGTTTTTGACACCGAGGTTGTTTATGTCCCTACCGTATACTCCTTAGTGTGATGTAGGGTCATTTTGGCAGAAGTTTCCCTTAGGTTTTTATCTGATATTCTAACTTTGTTCCCTTTTTATTCCCTCTCCCCACGCACACAAACACCCCGAATGCCTCTCTATAAACTGACAGCATCCCAAAGTAACAAATGCTTTTTAAAATCCCTAGTGCTGTGAGGTGAAAGGGAGGGAATGTCCAAAGGGCGAGGGGAGGAGTCGCCAGGCCCACGTTTGAGCCGCTCCAAACATCCAGAGTATCTCGAATGCCATTCTAGGCACCTCAGCGAAGGCAGATGCTCGTTAAGTCCCCCAGTCCTGGAGGGGACGGCGAGAGGCGTTGGGGGTTTAATGTGGGCACTTCCGCCGTGTCACCAGAGGGACCATCTGCTGCATTTTTCCAGTGACGTGGTTCACCGCACCCCAGTCCTGGTGTGTCGGGGCCTGGGGGACCAGGGACCTATTCTGACACTACAGGGGTCCGTGTGGATGTTTGAAATGTTCACGATGACGGGACTATATTTAGGATGATGGGCTATATGGTTGTTTGCATTGGGTACAACTTCGGGTTTCTAACCACAATTACCCGACGCTGATCATTGTATATCTCTGTCCACACCCTGCAAACACCCCCACTAAGAGTTCTGCCCCAGCCTCTGAGGAGTCTGGGGGTGGGGGGAGCTTATTGCCTATGTTTTCCCCTCCCTAGGATACAGACTCTGTATCCCAGTGAGGAACTGAGATGAAATCTCCTTGCTTTCCAAGTCCGGGGTCAAGGAGCGAAACGTGAATTCAGAGTGGAAAGTTACCAAGGCAGAGAAGCCACAGGCCTTTTTGAGGGGAGCACCACCCCCTAAAGATACTTGGCCTATTTTTAGAAACTGCGTGAATTTTCCTTGCAACTTCGGATCCTGGGGCTTTCACATGGTTACCCTTGGGCTGCCGAAACGGTTGGTGTGGGAGCAAAGAGAGAGGATGAATCCCGGGGCTGTGCTCTGTTCGTGTTGGGACTGCGGCCGTGTGGTCTCGCCTCAGCGTTTCTTTCTCCAGAAGCACCTTGACTTGTAGATAGCCCCACCGAGTCGGGAGTCTGCAGGTGGGGCCCAGGGATCAGCGTTTAACCAGCACCCGGGCGATTCAGGTAAACACCAAGGCGGGAGGACCCTGGTCTGGGGAAGGCAGTGTTGTAAAGTAGTCGAGCGCTGCTCTGTGGCTCGGTGACCCCTCCAGGGCCCTGGCCCCTGTTTTATCTGTACGGTGAGGGTGTAGGAGTCCCTGTCCCCTGGGCTGGTGTTGGGAGTCCAGGGACACCATTCCCATCATGCGCACACCACACCCGGCAGAGTAGGGGGGACAGGCAGGCAGGCAGGTAGGTAGATGGTGTCAGTGTTAGGTAGTTAGGTAGACAGATAGGTAATAGGTGATCGGTATGTAGGTAGGTAGTAGATGGTAGGTAGTTAGGTAGACAGGTAGCAGGTGATAGGTAGATAGGCAGGTAGGTAGTAAATCATAGGTAGGTAGATAGGCAGGCGATAAATAATAGGTAGGGAGGTAGGTGATAGGCAGGTTGGTAGTAGATGGTAGGTAGGGAGGTAGGCAGGTAGTAGATGATGGCTAGGCAGGGAGGGAGGTAGTAGAGAATAGGTAGGCAGTAGGTAGTAGGTGACAGGCAGGCAGGCAGGTAGGAAGGGAGGCAGGCAGACAGACCGATCAGACCGATCCAGTCAGTGGATAGATGAAGGAACAGGTGGGTGGGCAGGTGTGGGGATAGATAAACGGGCGATGATACAGTGAGCAGTGGCTGTCCCCTTTCCCTGCGCTGTCACTTAGGCTCAGCAACTTAAGGACGGCACTCGTGTCCTCCGGCTGCCGATTTGGTCTTTATTTCTCCTCCTTGCAAAGGGGCCCCATCTTGGCGGCCTGTTTGCTTGCTTGGAGGCGGCAGCGAGCGCTGAGCACAGGCCTCCGCCTCATGGGGGCGGGGGGCTGGGGCCCCTGCAGGACCCACCTCCCCGCGGCTCCCGGGCCCCTCCCCCGCCCCCTCGGAGCCTTGGCTCCTTGGTGTCCAGTCTTTCTGTTGGTCCTTGGCTTGGTGACAGCGCCTCTTCCTGGTGTGACAGCGCAGTGCTCTCCATCAGGTCTCTCCTTGCGGCCGCCTTCTCTTTAAGCCGACGATGCTGGTGATTCCTGACCCCAAAACATAACACCGGAGAAAAGAAAACAAGATTCCGTTTGTTTCATTTCTATTTGTAAAGATTCCTCTCTCATGGGGATTGTGTGTTTTTCCCAACGGCCCAGCCAGAGATGACTCGGAAACTCCTTTTCTAACACTGGAGGGAGTGGGGCTCAGCATCCCTGGGCATCCTCTCCAAGGGGGGCAGCCTGCGGCCCCTGGTTCCCAGACAGGCGAGTGCCATAGTTGCCCGGCGGCCCTGAACCCCCCTCCCCGGAGCTGGGGTGTGAGAGTTCACCACCCCCGGGGGCAGCCTGCAGAGTATGACGACCCGGCAGCTTCACCCGCTGAGCCAGAGACTCAGGATCCAGTGCAAAATGTTCGTACGTCCACACGTCCTGAGCATGCCACGCACCTGTTAGCTTCAGGCCTCAGTTTTCCTGTCTGTAAGATGGGGAGAGGGATAGCTGATTTTAGGGCTTCCCCCATTATACCAGACACCCAGAGCACTACAGTCTTTGGTGGGCTGATCTTCTCACCTCCACTGAGAACACATCTGAATGAAGCGCCAGGGGATTCAGTGTCCCCACCAGCAGTGTGCATGTTGATAGCCATCAGATCATAGACGTCTTTGCCAGTTTGGGGTGTTGGGCATGGCGCTGTGCCTCACTCTCCCGGGGAAGGCAAGCCTGAAGCCTCCCTCCTGTTCTCTAGCCCTGGAGATGTGATGGGTTCAGAGAGGCAGAGGGATCGGCCCTGACCCGCTCCCAGGGGCCTGAAGGGCTGGGGGAGCAAGCTGCTGGCAAGGGTGATGCCTAAAGTGGCCTGAGGAGGGCCGCCCATCCTCAGGCTCTTCTACCTGGGGGGACAGGGCTATGCCCAGATCCCCGGCTTTGCGAACTGTCCCCAGTCCTCAGCTGGGAGCAAGGGAGACCAAAAGCCCCCGGGGGGCCGGCCTGCCTGCTGCGGGCCGTCGACCCCACAGTCTGGTCTCTGGCCTGATTCCTTGGCGGGCATGTCAGCCACGACCTGCGCAAGGCTCCTCATGGAGACCGTACAGGCTGTGGTCAGAAGGGAATTCCTTCTAGGAATGGCAAGAAGCAAATGATTTCGTCCTCAGGATGCTGCTTTGTCCAGGCTCCCAGCTCTGTGCGCACCCTCCCTCCTGAGACCTGTCCTGGGCTCTCGAGGGCGCCCGTGCGGGCCCAGCAGCTCCGCCTCCTCCGAGCTGCACCTGCGCAGGGGTGCTCCCCCAGCCGCCTCCCCCCCTTACGCACATCCTGAGCCCTCGTGACAGAAAGGGACACTTTCCTGAACTGAATGTGCCAAGACTCTGCCGTGGGGCATTTTTAGATCGTGTCAGCCCCCGAGGTCTTGGCAGAACCAGTCTGGACAGAAAACCAAAAATAACTCCCTGACTCCAGCAAGGCAGGCAGCTTCCAGCCAGTAGGCCCTGGAGGCCTGAGCCCGCAGCCAGCAGTTGGAAGAGCAGGGCTCCCGGGCCAGCTGGACCCTTCTCTGCACGCTCAGATCCGTGATCTCAGGGCTCCCTCCGAGGGGCTGGGGAGGCTGGTGCTTCATGCACGGAGCCAGGGCGCATCTGGGTGATGGGGGGTGCAGACCGTGGTGCAGGGAGGGTGGAGTGGAGAGAGCACCCTCTCCAGACCAGCCCTGACCTGCAACCTGTTTCCTGAAGTGCCAGCACCCCTGCCCCACAGCCCAGCCCAGAAGGCTCACCGTGGGCAGGACGCAGTGTGGTGGGTGGTTCAGGGCAGCCCTGGCCCCGACCCTACTGGGGACGAACCCCCCTTCTCCACATCCTTAGTCTGACGTCACAGTCGCGATCATGGCTGTTGCCTCCACTGAACACTGATTCACATCAGCCGCCCTCCTGGAATCCCCCTGGTCAGCCCTTCAGTCTCCTCTACTCCCCTCCGCGTTCATGGGAAAGGAAGATGTCTGTGCCTCACTCCAGGGAGGGTGACCCGCCCTCACCTGCTGTCCCCTGTGCTGGGCATGGAGCAAAGCAGTAGACTGATGAGGATTTTCTGAGATCAATAATGTCACCTCTAAGTACCTGAGTGATCAGCACTCACTCACTCGTTCATGGACAGCTCCCTGGCTGGGCCTTGGCAGAAATAGCGGGAGCGCGGCGGGCTTGCTGCCTGGGGCGTTAAGTCCGGGACACTTGGGTCCACAGCCCCAGGAAACGTGTGGTCGTGAGCATGAGTCAGTGGGGACAGGGCGGGCAGCGTTCAGAAGGCAGAGGTCTCGGGAAGAGGCATGGGTTTGGGCCAAGCCACAGAGGACGCGTTGGAGGGCAGGGGGAGGGGGGGGAGCCGGGGGGGGGGGTGTGTTCCAGGTAGAGGGAACAGCCCCAGCGAAGGTGCGGAGGCAGCAAGGGCCAGGCATCTGAGCTGAGCTGGGGCGTTGGCCCGCCCTCTTCTCCTTCGGAGTATGCCGTGGGGGCAGACATCTGTTCTTCGGGGCGGCCATCATCCAGCGCAGGGGGTATGGCTGCGCAGGCTTGGCCGGAACCTCAGTGTGAGTCCACGTCACGACGTGCGGTGCCCGGTCCCACGGTGTGCTGTTGGACAGAAACCCACAGGCCCACTAGGTTCCCGAGCCGTGACGTCCTTGAGGCCGATGGCCCCTTTGGACGCCTCCTTCCAGGCAGGCCCGCTGTCCCCGGGCTCTGCGGTGGGGAGGCTGCAGGTGGCCGCTAGTCAGCACCTCCAGATTCCCACCCAGGTCAGAGTTGCTGCCGTCCCCTGGCAGCCCGGAGCCCCCAGGTCACAGGGACCCTACAGGCAGGGGGACCCCAGCGTTGAGTCTTGCTTTTCCCAGGTTCCCCTCCTCCAGACCAAAAGCCCTCGAATCCTCGAGGCGTGCGGGGTGAAAAGTTGGTCTGGGGCTCTCCTAGGAGTTCCAAACCCACCTGCTTTTTCCTACTTCTCATCCCTGGGCGCGCTGGCTAACCCTGACCGCCGCCCAGGTCCCTTGCCCAACCTCACTCCTCCCACAGATGGAGGACGAGCCCGGCAAGCTTGCCGTGATTCTCGGCAGGGGCCTGGCCCGTCTGCGGCCCTGAGAGCCGTGACTCCCGGAAGCCTCCATCTGTGAGGGGCCAGTACTTACGTGGGAGAGCTCGCGATTGCTCCTGAAAGTGGAACAGACAGGAAATCTGGAGAAGGGGAAGGGATGGGCGGGTAAAAATAGGTGTGGACTCAAGGCAGCAGCGCTGATGGGAATGTGGGTGCGAAGCCAGCCCTGCTGCTGCCTGCGGCGGCTCTTACCCCCGCAGTGGCCTTCGCGCTCCCGCGAGGCGCCAGGCCGGGATGTCAGGTGCCTGTCTCTGCAGTCTGTGCGATGATGCTAATGTGTATACTCAGCCCGCTTTCAGCTCATAGAGAGAGACCAGCCTCTAGGGCCTGGTCTGCTTTGCTGGATTATCCTGGCTAAACTGAGTCCCCGGGTTAAGTCACTGACCGTCTTCTGAAAACGCCCGGGTCTTCCTGGGGCCTTGCAGACCGCATGTCTGCATGTCCTGTGGCCCAAGAGCGCCCTGCCCTCCAGGTTGGCTGGGATTCTGGAAGATCTGAGTGGCTGCGTGCACAGCCTGGTGTGCGGCCAGGAGCGGACTCTTTGCTGGGCCATCGGGTGCAGCCTGGGAGCCCCGAGGGGCGTGGGAAGGGCACTGGGTCCCTGCCTCAGCGTGCCGAGTGGCCTTGCAGCCCTGAGTCCGTCCCGGCCCGTCTGTCCCTCTGCCCTGCTCCATCAGTGCCTCCTGGGTCCCTGCTCTCAGGCCACGGGGCTCCCTGCAGGCAGAAGGGAGCTTCTCCCTCAGCAGGAGAGGCTCACAGGCTCACGGTGAAGGCGCGGCGGGCCTCTCCCCTGGCCTGGTTCTAACTGGTGCAGGGGCGCCGGGCTGCGGGCTCCTCCCAGACAGATGCACCTTGCAGGGAGTCATCTGCAGATGCTCCAGCGCACTGCCCAGGCGGAACAAGGGCAAGGGCAGCCGTCAGACGGGCACCAGGACCGAGAGGGGGGGAGGGGACCCGCGTCCTCCCGCGGCAGGAGGTCGGGGTCGGGCCGGGGGACTCACCCTTCTGCGCTGTGCACACTCTCTTCCAGCCTGTGGCAAGCTGACGGGCATCAGTGACCCCGTGACCATCAAGACCTCTGGCTCGAGGTTCGGGTCCTGGATGACAGACCCTCTGGCCCCAGAAGGGGACAACAGGGTAAGTGCCTCCTCCGTCAGGCCTGGGGTGAGGGTTGTTTGGTGCGCCTCTGCCCATCCCCCATGTGTCTGGCCCTCACTCCATGCCTGTGTGCCCACCTACCTGGAAAACCACCCCAGGGGGCGTGAATTGAGCGCAGCTTGGTGCCCCCCGGGGTGCGTTCCCAGGCCCAGGCGACTCTGCAGAGGGGCCCAGCTCCCTCCCCGAGGTCCCTGTGCTAACCCAGCGTCCCAGACCGCAGGGGTGGGTCACTGTGTGAGATGGGTCGTCATGTGTGAGAGCAGACACACCCCTGCAGAGCCTCCCAGGCTTGACTCTGTCTCCTTGGCTGGGGAGGGGGGGGGTGGGCAGGGGCAGGGGAGAGGGGGAGGAGCCAGGGAGATGAGAAAGGGGAGGGGGCAGGGGTGCTCAGCGTCCTTCTCTGTGGCCGAAGCCTCCCCAGACGTTCCCAGCCCCATCTCGGCTCCAGGAGGAGAATCCGTCTGGCCTTCCTTACTTTAATGATATCTCATTTGTATTTCATTTGTTATTCTTTTCAAGACTGATGGAAACTCGTGTTCCTTTTTGATTTAGGGAAGAGGCCGTGTTCTTTTTTTCTAGACTTTTCCCCCTGGGTAGAAACTCAGAAAAGGAGAGAAACACAGGGCGTAGGTTTCGGTGTTTGAGCCCCATTGGGGTGCAAGGGTGCGAGGGCTGACCGGCTGAGCCGGGTTGTGATGGCCTCCACCAAGGGAAGAGTCGCTGGGGCTCCCAGGGGAAGAGGGTCGCAGTCTGGGCCACTGTCCTGTGCCGATGCGCCCCGCCCCCTGTGAACAGGCCTGCGTCGGGGGCGGTTCCTACCCTCCTGCCCCCTTGCTTTGAGGGACTTGCAGAACATTTAGAAACTGATCACTCTTCTCTTCCTTCAGACAGGATTGAGAGGGTGGTTTAGAAATCTGAGACCTTCTGAGCCTTGGATGGAGGACTCTAATGGGAAGGGGTGGGTCACTCTCTTTCCCCTGAGGTTCCTGACCCCCCCAGCTCCCCTCCCCCATTCACACGCCTGCCAGAAAGCATGAGGCACCATCTCTTATATTTGGGACCTGAGGTGGCTCCGTGCTGCTGGTACACTTTGTCCTGGGGAAGGCGGTGGGGGACAGTGACCCTGACCGTGACCATGGGCTCTCTGGGAGCCCGAGACTTGTCTCCGCCCCCTCCCACCTGGAGCGCATTCCTGGAGGGCATTCCAGCCTCTGCTGCAGAGAATTCCGGAGGGGCCTGTCCGTGTCTGCAGACCCGGGATATGGGTGCAGACAGGTGTTTGCGGCTGCTCCATTCTGTGTACAGAGTCGGGACAGCTAGCTGGTATTTGCATGTTTTCTAACAGTTTCACTGACTAATTGTCATCCCGATTGGCCTTCTGGCCCACATCCCTCGTGGCGAAGCCCAGCTCTGCTCTGGTGTGGCGCCTGGGAAACAAAAACGAGGAGGTGCAGGCAGGGCCCCGTGTGGCTCCGCTCACGCACTAGGTGTGCGCGGAGATCCATTAACGCAAGAGAAGGTGATGTTCGCGCCTCACCACGTGTGCCTGCCCCTCAGCCGCCGCGCTGCGTGCCTGCAGTGTGGCCACTACCCTTACGTCTGCTGCTCACTTGCCTAAGGTCTCACTCAGGAAAGGCTGGTCTGTGGGTTTTTTAACAAACATGCAGCAGGCATGGTTCCAGGCAGTCTCCGTAGAGCTCACCCTCCCCACCTCCGGCCTGCAGTCCACCTCCCCCCCACCCCAGACACGCTCCCCCCAGACAGGCCCTTGGGAGCCCGGAGCCAGAGCCAGTGCCCTCGGTGCTGTGGAGAGCGCACCCGCGACGGGGGGAGGGCAGGGAGGGGGGGTAAGCCCGTATCTGACATTGCAGCCTTGCGCCTCTGCCCCTCCCCCCTTTGGAAGTCGTGTTCCTTTGTTGCAAAGAGCACTGGGCCGAGGACCTCCTGGGGGCGGGGGCGGGGCTCCTGGCAGCTGTTCACCCTGAACAGGGAGGAAGCGGGTGCGTGAGGCTGTGGGGGTGAAGATGCCTCCTGATGATTAATTAGACATCTGTTTTCTGCTTGATGACTCGATCGCCCTCCAGGAAAGGAGGCCCTGGTGATGGACGGAGGCAGCCAGAGAGGGACGGCGGGAGGAGGCTTTGGCCAGGAGCCCCCCGCAAGGGGAATGGAGGAGCCGGAGCTGGCTCGGGGGGAGCGGGGGGCGGCGCGGAGGGCAGCCCAGAGCCCCGCACCTGGGTGGATCGGGCTGTTCTGAGCTGCGTGCTTAGCGCAGCCACCGCCAGCCGCCACCCGGCCACGCGAGCGTCCCCGGGCCCTGCCGTTGATCTGGGAGAGAGCTGTTCTGTGTAATCTGTTTCATTTTCCCGTCTGGCATGTCACACACACACAGGAGACCAGTAACGTGCTGCAAAGGGAAACGGGAATCCACGTTAGTGCTGGGGGCAGGCTGCTGAGGAGGCGCCCCTAGAGGGGTGCGGCCAGAGCCAGGGGCAGGGACGGCACACGGGGTCCTTGACGGGAGGCAGTGGGGGGCGTGGGGGGCTGTGGAGGAGAAGCCACAGCTGGCTGCTTCCCGACGCCCTTGCACTGAGCTGCCAGAGCAAGGTTAGCTGGGGGCACCTTTGTGTCCTTCCTTGACTCCTTTATTAAGCACCAGCTGTGTGCCGGGCACTATGCCGGCCTCTGGTGTTCTTCTGCCCAGTCCAGATGCTGCCTTCTCTTGGCCGTGACCGGGAGGTGGCACCGGGACTCCGGAAGCTCTCACCCTGACGCCGGGCTGTGTCTCCCGCCCCAGGAGAGCCCTTGCCCTGAATCTGAGACCCGTTGCCCACTCTGTGGACCACCTTCTAGAGTCCAGAGCACCTTCCCTCCTGTTGGCTGGCTTCTGCCGTGACGTCCCAGGCGTCGGCCCCTCTGTGTCCATGTCTGTCTCCTTAGGACAGCAGTCATGGCACTTACGGCCCACCCTAGTCCAGAGGCTCTCTTCTGGGATCCTTAACAACGTCTGCAAAACTGTCTTTTCCAAATAAGATCGCATTTAGAAGTCCCTGAATGTGGACATACCTTTTGGGAGGCCACCATTCACCTCCCTGCCTGGGGGATCCAGGGTGTGGGGTGTGGGAAATGCCCTCTGGGAGGTGAACTTGATCAGTGGGGAAGAGGGCATCGCGGTGGCAGCAGCCCTCGGTCCCCAAGAGCCAGGGATTTGGCCTCGCAGGTGCAGAGGCAGCCAGAGCTGGGGGGAGGAGCCTGGAGCTGAGGAATCAGATTTGCAGGGGACTGGTGGTCTGGCCGGCAGCTCCGGAGGGAGGCACCAGGCCCCAGGGCCAGTAGGGAGCGATGGGCACGGCCCATGGCTTCCATTGTGAGATGCGCTCTGAAGCAGCCTGGGTGGCCTCAGCTGCCTCTGAGCCTCTGACATAGAAAGCCAGTGGAGAGCCCTGGGGGCCACGCTGTCCATGCCCCGTTCTGTGAAAGGGAAAGCGAGGCCAGGCAGAAACCAAGGGCCCACGCCTTTATTTGGGACAATCTCTGGTCGTCCATAGGGTCTTCCTCAAGATCGCTGGCACCTATAAAGGTCAAGGGTGGTGTGTTTCTAAATTCAGCCTCGCCCTGGGAAAGCAGCCTCGCCCTGGGCTCCTAACGCAGGAGAGGCATGCGCATTGTCCACACCCGCTTGCAAACACACCACACAGGTGTGTGGGCCTCAATGCCAGGGCCGTCCGCGCCCGCCCCCGTTCTCCTCTCTCCCTGCTGCACCTGAGGGCTTCTTAAGAGGGGAAGGGCGTCTTGGTGGTCTTCAGCCAGGGCCATTTCAGGGCTCCAAGCAGAGACCTGACACCCTGCGGGCAGTAACGCCCAGGCCGGGCCAGCACCCCTGTGGCTCGTCAGCCTTGCCTGCTGACACCAGGGACGGAGCTGCGCTGAATGGCAGAGGGTGGCCAGCAGCTCCCTGGCCTCTACCCCCAGATGTCAGGGGCACCCCCATCCCTGGGGCAGAGCCCCGCCTGGCTGGGAGCCCGGGGCCTGGTCACCTGCATAGCTTCTGCACCCCGGCAGACCCACCAGACCCCTCTGGCCTCCTGTCTGAATGGGGGTGACAGGCATGCGGGTGCACGTGAGATCGGAAACAGCGGGGGCCCGTCCCGGCCAGAGCCCCGTGTGGAGACAGACCAGTGCCCGGGCTTCTAGACCCGGCAGAGCCTGCCCCGGCTTTTACCTGGTGGCCGGCCGCGGGTCTGACAGAAGAGGGGTCCTTCCGGAGACCATGAGTGCCCAGAGATGAAACAGCAGGCACGGAGCCCCTGTCCAGGCGGGGTCTGGCCTCCAGCTGGGACCCGGGGCCTGGGCCACCCTTCTCCACCACCCCTACAGGTGCGCAGAAGCTCAGCCTTGCGGGAACCTTGGCCTTGGACCTGGGCTGGGAGCAAGAACTCTTGAGGAGTCAGTGTGTCAGGAGCTTATCTGCTCGGGACTGGCCCCTGGGCTTCCCTGGTGGGGACACAGGGAGACCGTCTGGCCCCACATTTCTGCTGTGGAGCTGGGGTCCCATTTTCCCGCTTGGTTTGTATAATCCAGAAATAAGTCTTAAACATCCTGGTGCCGGGGCCCCAGCTGAAACTAGTCACATAGGAACGGGGGGGGGGGCGGGGGGCAAGTGTGCAGAGCCCAGACAGAGCCAGGAAGGGCCAGGTCCGCGGCAAAGCAGCGGGCTCCAAGCTCAAGGCTCCGGCCTCACCCGGATGCGTGCCCTGCTCCGTCCCCGGAGTCCAATCACTCTGGGGGGTGGCCGTGTCCGGGGCTCGGAGGGCAGCCACGTTACAGGCGAGGCCGGGGAGTCGGGGTTCTGTGTGAGCCCGAGGACATGGACAGGAGGTGAGGGAAGAGGCCTTCTGATCAGGAGATGAGAGTGAGGAAGAGGTGGCCTCTGTGAAGGAAGGGACCCCTCCTCTCAGGGCCCTTGGGGCTGCGACTGTGGGCCTCTTTCTGCACAGAGTGTCTGGTCTCTGTTGTTAAGTATTTAGCCCCTTGTGCTGATTTTCCCTCCCAGCCTAAATTGCATTTTCCAAAAGCGTGGTGCCCTGCGTCCAGCTTGCTAATTTCTAGGAAGAAACGGCAATTTACAAATCCTGAGCAAGTGCCCCCATCTCTGCCCGCGGGAAGGGGGCACCCTCTAGGTTCACAGGCCCGGTCATCGGGGAGGAGATGCCTGTGCACATTCAGGAGGGAGAGAGCCAGTTCCTGAAGGCACGGGTCCGGAGAGGGTTTGGGGGGTGTCATTTGAGCCGCATCTTAGAAGAAGCACTGAGCTCCCCGTCCCAGGAGAGAGCCAAGCAGAAGCAGAGGGGCCCCGCTCAGCAGCGAGGTCGTGGCCTCCGAAACCCCTTGACGCAGGGCACTTGCCTCTCATCCCAGACCCACATTGCGTGGGCTGGTCTGCAGGGGGCGAGGGTAATAAAAGCCTCCAAATGAGACCCAGGTTGTTTTTTTAAAAAATCTCATTAAAAACCAAAAGCACACCTGCCTCTAAACATCTGCATGCGCCTCAGGAGCAAGGTTATGATTTTCTGTAAATTTTTAACGCTTGTTAACGCCGCGTCTGAGAGCCCTGCGTCCTTCGCCCCCCGCACCCAGCAGAGCCCGTGCCAGATGCCGCAGTGGTCTGGGTGCCCCACAGATTCACTGGGAACAGCGTCCGCCCGGCAGACTCCCTCTGACTAACTGCATTGCTTTCTAATTTGCTCCCATATCAGTTGAAAATGACTAAAGCATTTTGTACAAAGTCTAGACTGTTTTCAAGTCAACTGGCATTTAAGCAATGATCGGAAATCTCTTCCGCCGTAGCCCCAGATGTGGGCCACGACTGGATTTGTTATCTTGGTGGCTTGTGACACCGGGGCCCTTGCACGAAGCCCACGTTCTCCCTGGAGAGAAATCCCCGGGTTGTGGGTGTGACACAGCGATCCCGCACGCAGCGCCCCAGATGCCAAATGAGGGTGTTTCTGCCCAGCGGACAGGGTTACCCAGGCGACAGCCAGGAAGGGCGAGAGGCACGAAGTTGGGCGGCCCCTGCACGCGGGGATGGCCCCTCCTGGTGCCCTTGGCAATGGGCCCCCATGCCACAGGAGCCGCCTGGGGCTGTGAGCCTTCTCGTCCAGCGCTGCCTCGCTGGCCCCCAGGCCCGCTGTGCAGAGTGTGTTCCCCCAACCTCTCCCTGAACCGGACCCTTCTTTCCCAGCGGCTGCAGCCCTGTCCCCTTTGACGCGGGCCCCGCGGGTTGGGAGGGAGGACATGACAGGGCGCCGTTTGGTCTTCATTATCCTCTCCTGGCTCTCGGTGCCAGGCCGATGCCCGGTGGATCGAACCCCGAGTCCGAGAGGGGACACTCCCCGCCCCGCCGCTGACCCCTGTGTCTTCTCCACAGGTTTGGTACATGGACGGCTACCACAACAACCGCTTCGTCCGTGAGTACAAGTCCATGGCCGACTTCATGAGCACGGACAATTTCACGTCGCACCGCCTGCCGCACCCCTGGTCCGGCACGGGCCAGGTAGTCTACAACGGCTCCATCTACTTCAACAAGTTCCAGAGCCACATCGTCATCAGGTTCGACCTGAAGACAGAGGCCATCCTGAAGACGCGCAGCCTGGACTACGCCGGCTACAACAACATGTACCACTACGCCTGGGGCGGCCACTCGGACATCGACCTCATGGTGGACGAGAACGGGCTGTGGGCCGTCTATGCCACCAACCAGAACGCCGGCAACATCGTGATCAGCAAGCTGGACCCTGTATCCCTGCAGGTGCTGCAGACGTGGAACACCAGCTACCCCAAGCGCAGCGCCGGCGAGGCCTTCATCATCTGCGGCACGCTCTACGTCACCAACGGCTACTCCGGGGGCACCAAGGTGCACTATGCCTACCAGACCAACGCCTCCACCTACGAGTATATCGACATCCCCTTCCAGAACAAGTACTCGCACATCTCCATGCTGGACTACAACCCCAAGGACCGCGCCCTCTACGCCTGGAACAATGGCCACCAGGTTCTCTACAACGTCACCCTCTTCCACGTCATCCGGTCTGACGAGTTGTAGTCGCCCCCGCCCGGGGGCCCGAGGGGCGTATCCTCGCCCGCGTGGACGTCTCCGCCAAGTAGCTGCCAAGATAATCTGACGATACTAATAATATACTAACTTCCGGACCAGCAGCAGCAGCGTCACCTCCGTGCACCTCTGGTCCGAGCAAGAGGGCGACACCCTTGGGAAGAGACCCCCCCACCCCGTCTTTGCAGCTGGAACTGCAGTCCAGGGCTCCTTGGCCCCCACCCCCCACCACCGTCCCCCCCGCCCGGCCCCCTTTCTGGTCAAACAACCTGCCACAGCAGCAAGGCGATGACTGTTGGCCGGTGCTCGGCCGAGAACAACCACCGTCAGGTCGCACGGGCCTCGCCCGAGATCGTGCCCAGCTCTGGCGGACGTGACCCCCCCCATGTCCCATCCAGGGCTCCCCGACCCCCACACCCCCACCCCGGGCTGCTCCGGGCATCCGCAGGGGCCGACATAGGCTAGTGTGACTCCTCCGAGACGGCCGCCCTCTCTCCACCGCGTGTCCTGTCGTAGCGAGGCTCCGCGTCCCCACGGACCCGCGTGGGGCGCACAGCCGCAGCGCCCACTTGTTCGAGCTCGTGTCCCCCGTAGATATATTGTGCCACGTCTGTCTGTCCTTTCCTTGAGGTGGTAGCTCTGTGTTCAGTTGATGCAGTGAATGTTGTAAATGCAGTGCTGTAGTTTGGGTTAATAAGTGGATGGTTTTTGTTTCCAAAAAGAAAAAAAAATATTCAGTGTTCACCCTTAGAAAGAGGTAATTGAGTTCATGCTGATAGTAATCAAAGGAATTCTTCTCCTCCTGTTAAATTATGTCAATAATGTAACCATGGGTGGGAAGGGCTTGTTGGGAAACTCCGTTTCCACGGGGAAAGGAACGTTCCTGAGGGTAACAGAACACGGGAAGTACAGGTTTTCAGTAGAAACGAGGGGAACTTTGTACCGTCCAGTTATCTAAGGAACAATAAAGATAGTAGGAGATATTGCTTCCTTTGTCATTTCTGAGTCTTTGAAAGTGACAGAGACTCCAGCCGCTTGTGATGCAGTCCAGAGTCCGGCCGGTCCCCTCCCGCGAGGTCACACCCTACACGTACTCTCCGCCGGGTCTCTAACCCCCGTCCGTCCCCCACCCCACCGAAAGCCTGAGAACCAGGCTGGGGCTCCACGCCTCCTGGGGTGAATCCGAATCCGGGGTCGCACCTCCCCCATGGGGTCTCCTCCTTGGGCGGCTCTGGACACAGTGAGGGGCATCCGAGGAGCCCAGGCCAACTCACAGGTGCCCATCGATGCAGAGGGGGACCCCCGACCCCAGATCCTTTCCCGCTTTCTTGTTGCTGCCGGCACCGCAGCATCCTTCTGCCACAGAGCTCAGAGAGGCCCTGACCGCTGACCTCGGGAGAGGAGGGGCAGGCAGGGGGGAATGCCCACTCCTTAATTAGAGCCTCATCCCCCGTGAGCAAGACAGGGATGTCACACCACCTCAGGACGCGCTTGCAGGGAAAACTTGTCCAAGGGGAGGCAGGGTCACACTTCCACGTTTTTACAAGTTTCCTGGGAGTGTGGCATCCAAAGCGGTCCCGGTGACAGGTGGGAGCCGGTCATTCACGTAAGAGCCCCACGTTTCAGGAAAGCAGTAATTCAGCCTCCAAGGCCCGGTGTGACAGGACCATGTCCAAGCACCCCAGGCAGGGGCTGGTGCATAATTATGGCTGCAATTATGGGCCGGCTTCTTGGGACCGAATCAGATGTACAAATACCTGTTCTAAGTTCCAGGAACTAAATAATGACCGAGAGGTCCAGAATGGATTTGCTGTCTCGGACTGAGTATTTGCTAGGGAAAATATTCCTCCAGGATATTAAATACACAAGAAAAACGGCTCCATCCAGAGAGCAAATAAAACAACCGGCCGGCCACTAAATCTCCCAGATCCCAATAACCGAATATATTGGCTGATGGCAGAACATCTGTGGATGAATTTTCTTTATTAAAAGTCTGGTGTGCAATCAAAACCCACAGCTCTTCCGGGGAGCTCGAGGCCGGGGCAGGGGAGGCTCGGTTCTAAGTGTGGTGGGCGTGGGGCTTTCCCGTCCCAAGTCCGTGATGGTTGACCCCACGTGGCTGTCCATGCCATCAGCTGTGGCCCCGGAGAGCCACGGGGTCCTCTAGCCACGGCCAGGGGAGGACGCCTGCCCACGCTCCTGCAAGCCAGCTGGACAAGGGATGCCGCTGTGGGCGCAGCGGTCACCTCGGCTCCTGGGGGGGGGGGGCGGGGGCGCCGGGCAGACACCGGGCCACGTCCGTGAGCAGGCGCAGAAATGCGGGCAGTGGTGGCCGCTGATTGCTGAGCACACGAGACAGGGGCGGCCCCTTACTGGGTCGTTTGACTCCGCTCTGTTTGGAGGTTGAGCACAGACCACGTTAGAAGCAGTGGTAGCCCCGCCCTGCCCCCCGCCCCCCTCTGACCTCACGCCACCCTGGACATGAGGTGACACTCCCTGTCCCCAGATCAGCGACCTCGGGCTCGGGGAGGCCCAGCTGTCTCCCGGGGCAGCTGATCTTCCAACCCGCGAAATGGTGTCCACGTGCACAAGACGGCGAAGAGGCAGAATGTTCCAGACTCTTGCAGGTCCCTGGAGACGGTGAGTGGAGGCCTGGGCGGGACTGAGCAGAGATTTGGGGGAAAGGAACCCCCAGAGTCAGCTCCCAGAGGCCGGCGCAGGATTTGGGTCAGGTCCTCGCTTGGCCACCTGTGTGGGCGTGGCCCAGAGAGACGTGGCACCTTTCACTGGAAGAAGCAAGACCAGGGAACTTACGAGCCACAGGGAGGAGGCTGGATTTGCCAGGTGCTCGGGAGGGGGCCGCCCCGGAGCCGGAGCCGGGAGCCAGACGGTCCACCCGATGCAGAGCGCGGAGCTTTCTTGTTGCGAAGGGGCCACGGCAGATCTGCTCACCATCGGGTAAGGTGTCCCTCCCTTGGTGGCCCAGAGGAGACCATCTGGAGAGAACAATCCCCGTCTCCTGAGTGAATTGTTTCCAAAAGGGTCTCCTATAGCAAGGTTTTGTTTTAATAAATCCACTATTAGAGATTGTTTTCACAGGCTATGAGAGGGACACAGGGAGTCCCTTTGAAGCCAATAGCAAGGAGAGGCGGTGATCAATGGCCGCACCCCACTCTTCTACACAAGGCACCCCACTTGTACATTCCCCTGCACCTTGCTTTCCTCACGTAGCGCCTTTTCCTGAAGGCGACATTGGGAGCCTGGAGCCGTGCGCTGGTACTGAGCCCTGCGGGGTGGCGCCGCACGGTTCAGCTGTGGCACGGCACGTGGGACCAGCGTCCCTCGGGGTTGTCGGGGTGTGTCCAGTACTCTGTGCCTGGACCCCGTCCCGCGTGAGGGACCTGAGATTGCACATGTCTGTGTCTGGAATAAAGGTGTGAGGGCAGATGCGTTTCCTACTTTGCCTGATATTTTGAATTCCCGTCCACAGAGTTTACGCAGCTCGCTTTCTTTCGAGCGTGTTTCCCCGTGAGCGTTTGGAAGTTTGGGGAGTCTTCCAGTCAGGTAGGTAAGATGCAGTGTTTCTGGGCTGGCTGGCTGAATTTTTATTTCTCGTATTAAGTCTCAGGCAGCATCTTTTCCGACGCCTCAAGGTCACGGGCAGTATTTACCTGTGATCTTTCCATTCCTGCTTTGCCCACTTCTTCCTACTCAGCCGGGGGGGCCTTCGTCCCTACAAACATCAGGAGCCCTTCCTATGGGCAGGAAGTCAGCCTTGGCCTGTTGTAAACAGGGTCCCTTGATTTGAGCAATAGTAGGATTTTCTTCTTCTGTTTTATTCTTTGTTTTTGAGAGAAAGAGAGCGAGCAGGGGGGAGCGGAGAGAGAGGGAGACAGAGGATCCCAAGCAGGCTCCACACGGTCAATGCGGAGCCTGACGCAGGGCTCGAACTCCTGAACCGTGAGATCATGCGCGACCTGAGCCGAAGTTGGATGCTCAGCTGACTGAGCCACCCAGGTGCCCCTTTTTGTTTTATAGTCAAAATCATCAATCCTTCTTCTAAATGCTTTGGCTTCCAAGGCACAAGACAGTGATGCGGTACTCAGCCCTCTTCCCCTCGTACGTGCGCGCCCCCCCGACACTGCCACCCACCGTGCTTTGGGGTTTCTGGATTTATCTTTGAGGTCCACTTTTATCTTTTCCCAAAGGCTACCAGCTCTGCCAACACTATTTATTAAATTTATTTATGTCCCCCATTGAATCCTACACTGAGTGTCTGTGTGCTTGGATCTCTTTCTAGAATCTTCTCTTGCTCAGCCTTGTTTGATGCTGTCACTGGAAATTCTACGCGAAGCCCCCAGGTTTATTTCCATAGTGTGGGTGGGGTTTTGCCTGTAGTGGGGGTGTCTCTGACTTCTCTGACACAGGCAGGCACTGTATGACTTTTATTATTTTTTTAATGTATTTAATTTTATTTATTTTTGAGAGAAAGAGAGAGTGAGAGAGGATGAGCAGGGGCAGGGGAGGGACAGACAGAGGGAGACACAGAATGGGAAGCAGGCTCCAGGCTCCGAGCTGTCAGCACAGAGCCCGACTCGGGGCTCGAACTCACGAATGTGAGCTCATGACCTGAGCCGACGTCGGACCCTTAACCGACTGAGCCCCCCGGCGCCCCTGAAGGGGTCTCTGAAAGGCCCGTGTGCAGTGACGCCTAGTCCCTCCATCTGAGTGGGATTTCTGCCTTTCCCCATTTCGCTGCATCAGCGAAGATTGAAGTGGCTTCTGGGTAATAGTCTGTGAAACAGTTACTTGCTGCTCTAAACAAAGCGCCTAAATCCAGAGGTGTTGCCAGGACGCTAAGAGCGCCGTGCGAGCCTGTCTTTGAGGGACCTTCAGGCAAAGCCCTCGCCCTGTGTGCTGTGGCGCCATCCCCATTCCGCAGACGCCGACCCTGGGGCCGCTCTCCGCGCCCTCGGCTAGCCCGTTGGCGCACACAGCATGTCCTCCGGCTGGTGAGTCACCGGAAGCTTATTCATCACACAGCAGGCAGCGGAAGGTGCCAGAATGGCGTGCCTGGTCCTCCGGCCCCGGGTGCCGGTGAGTCACCGCGGCAGGGCCCGGAGCAGCGCGGCAGGGGAGGTGAGGCCCTGGAATCCCGGGGCCAGGGGTCCAGCCCTGCTCTGGCCTCGCTGGGGGGAGGCGGGCAGGTGGGGCCGCAGGACGATCCTCTGGGTGCCCCCCGTCCCGCGGCCCCAGCACGTGCACGCACACACACGTATGCACAGCACAATGGCCGGCGTGCACACGCGGGTGTGCAAAGCTCACGTACACACGCACGCTGGTTAATTCCAAGCCCCCGGCCTGGCCCAGAGCACCTGCAGGTTAGCAGGTTCCCATCTCTGCGCCCAGGACCCGTCTCCACTCTGGCAAAACAGGAGTGGCCGTTCGCCCAGCCCACGTCCAGGGGGACCCTCCAGCCCAAAGACCTCATCCCACTGGCCGCCTTCCAAGCCTCCCAGCCCGGCCCAGCCCTGCACCATCGCCTCGAGGGACAGGCTCCCCCCTGCCTCCACCACACGCACCCCCTCAGGCTTAAGCTTCCTGGCCTGCCACGGGCCGCGGGGGAGGGGTCCTGGGGAGTGTCCCACCTGACGCTGGCAGATGGTCCCCATTCTCAGGAGGCGGCCGTGGCTCCACGGCACCCCTGCCCAGCTGGCCAGAGCACCAGGCCTCAGAGACGACTTCAGGGCTCCACCCGTCGCTTTCCGCTTTCTAGGAAGGGATGCTATGTGGCCAGGCCCCACGCGACCTCCAGGCCAGGAGCCCTCTGGCCCTCTCCAGCCCCCCTTTCCTGCTCCGGGAAGCTTGTGTCCTGGCAGGGAATCCGTCAGAGACACCGCTGTCCTCACGAAGCAGGTAGAGACGCTGAGCAGCAGAGAGCCCAGCCGATGCCTGAACCTGCCGGCACAGCTGGTTACAGGCTGCC